GGAAAGTCTTGAAGGAACGGGAGGTACAGAGCTCTATGGACAGATTTGTTGTGCGACAGAGGTCCAGTGACTCTCAAGCTGGTCCTAGTGGCATTAAAAGAAGAAGGGAAGTAACCCCAGAAAAGGACTTGCTACCTCAAGTCCTAATGGAAGGGGATTCCCCTTCTAAACAGTAAGAAGATAATGCTCTCCCCTCCTCCCATCCCATCAATCATCACCAGATCTTCAATAAAAGTAAGTGTCATGTAATTGTGCATGCCTTTTTCAGTTTGTGTGTATTAAAATTAACATTTCATGTGGTAAAAAAAATTTTTTTTCATACTTTTGGGCGTCTTGCACGGATTAATTTTATTTCCATTATTTCTTATGGGGAAAATTCATTCGCATAACGATTATTTCGCATAACGATGAGCCCTCTTGCACGGATTAAAATCGTTAACCGGGGGTCCACTGTATATATTTATATTATATTTATTTATATTTATATTAACACATCGGCTGATTCCCACCAAGGCAGAGTGGCCCGAGAAAGAAAAACTTTCAACATTCACTCCATCACTGTCTTGCCAGAGGGGTGCTTTACACTACAGTTATAAAACTGCAACATTAACACCCCTCCTACAGAGTGTAGACACTGTACTTCTCATCTCCAGGACTCAAATTTCAGAGTGTGCATCAGTGTCCAAGAATTTTCAAAAAATAATTTTGTTATTTTTTCATATGAAATGGTAGAGAATCTTTTTCTAAAGGTAATAAAACAAAAAGTACGAAATTTGATGGAAAATTGATGAAATTGTTCTCTTGCGAATTGTAATGTGTCAGCAATATTTACGCATTGGTGATTTTGCCAAATTTGACTCCCATTTTAGGCCAATTACGTTATTCCAGTCGACCAAGTTCTTAGCTATTTCACTAGTATTACTTCTATTCTATTGATTGAGCACAAGAAATCGCCAAGTCAACTGTTTCAACTACAAAATAAAGTAATTGGAAATTGGTAATTTGGCCAATTTAACGCAAAGTTCAAAATATTCCAATTTCAAAATAGGGTCCAGAATAAACAATGCAGGCATTCCTGGCACTAAACTAACATTTCCTCTGTTCATTAGTTACATTTTCAGGCTTTACAAATGAATTCCATTTTGATTTTTTTATTTGCATAATGAATTTTTATTCAAACCAAAAAATAGAAGATTTACTTTTATGCAATATTGTAATAATTGTATAAATAATATCACCACATTTGTGAATGTACATTAGACCCACCAGCGAGGGTCATTTGTATACTCTTGAACATCGGCAAAAATTTAACATTTCCACTACTTTGAGCTCAGCTTCAAGCCATTTCCAGTACTAAAGCCAATCAAAATCATCTCTATTTCTGTAATGTATCTTCTATTCTATCGAATGAGACCAAGAAATCGCAAATACAACTATAAAAAGCATATGAAAAAACTGCAAATTCGCTGTTTTAACCGAAAATTACGGTCTCAGTTTTTTTCCCTCTCATTATGCAATGTGTGCTGCAGGATTTGTTTTATATGGTGCACACATACCACATAGATTTATTCTCTCATATCAAGGCCCAAATTTACCGTTCACAGCTTATCAGAGTGAGCCGAGCTCGTGGCGTAGATCTAAGGTTTGGACCCTCAACTCAAAGCTGTAGAACTTCGGCACGGACCCTGAAAGGGCTAACACTCAGTGTGTGCAGTATGAAAAAAATCTGGGACCACATAGTACCTTGTAAGAGCACCAGCTCAATTGAGTGCCGCGCTAGAGCGCGGCAAACTCCAGGGATTCACCAATGTCATGTCGTATTAATACTCTCCTTTTAAAAGGAAAGTGATGTTGACCCCGAGTTTAGTGGCTTTTAGGTGGATGTGGCCACAAGTGGTCGAGGAAATATAAAAAATCTTGATAATAACCCATGTGCGACATCCTTTCAATTTTGGTACCACTGGTAGTGTCATCCTGCCAGAATGTCCTATAACAGATGCCCTAAGTAAAGAGTGAGAATTTTGGAATGTATAATACGTGTTCAGCAGGTTGGCTGGCTGTCTCTATCTCACAGATACACATAAATACAATTATACATAGTGTAAATTACCTAGGATAACCCCAAAAATCCAGACAAAGTGCTGTACTGTGCTTGTAGATATAATGCATAATCAACACGACTGGCAAGTAATACGTACTTTCACTTGTTCAGGAATCAGATGTGACTACTCTGCATTTCTGCATTATGTAATACCTGTTGGTTCATGAGTTGCTCTCTCTGAGACAAAGAGAGACAAGCAGACAGAAAGATAAGCAGAGACAGAGATAAACAGAGAGCTAGACAGATAGACAGACATGTTTATGTGTAACAGTGAAAACAAATACATGTACATAAAGCCAAGGCAGTGGAGTGACACTCGTCTTCATCCTATTTTGTTCCATTATTTCTAAATGCCGAAACCACTTCAACAACCCCTCCTTGGCATTTAGTTCAGCTCATCTTTTGTAGACCATCTGCTGAGAAGTCCACTCCCAAATATCCAGACATTTACTTCCTTCATACTCCATAATTGAACATATTAAAATAAAAATTGCATATTTTCCTTATAAGTGAATCGTGTAGATTAACCTTTCAGGGTTTCTGACGTACAGTGGACCCCCGAGTTTCGTGATTAATCCGTTCCAGAGAGTCTGCCGAATGTCGAAATTGCCGAATGGCAAAACCATTTTCCCCATAAGAAATAATGGAAATAAAATTAATCCGTTCAAGACACCCAAAAATATTAAATTAAAATATTTTTTTCAAATTAAATAAAGATTTACATACTTTTAACAATGAGAAATCAAGTACATACATATATAAAATAATAATAACATTACACTTACCTTTACTGAAGACTTCTGGGTGGATGGAAGACGGGAGGAGGGGATAGGAGGAAGGTGTACACTATTGTTTGTAATGAGAATCTCCTTCCATTAGGACTTCAGGTACCAAGTCCTTATCTGGGGTTACTTCCCTTCTTTATTTTTTAAAGACACTGAGAACAACTTGAGAGTCACTGGACCCCTGTCGCACAAAATATCTGTCCAGAGAGCTCTGTTTCTGGCATTTCTTTAAGATTGTCTGAAGTGTGACACAACACTGTCATTGCACATGTTGCCAATACGGCCTGCAACAGCTTTGTTAGGGTGAAGTTCATCCATAAATGTTTGCACTTCAGTCCACTTTGCACATATGTCCTTAATCTTTGAAGAAGGCACCTTCCTCCATCTCTCTTCCTTCTCCTCTACAGCAGTTTTATGAGCTGTGATCTCTTGCTGTTGCAGATGAAGCTCTTGCAGCTCTTCAGTGGTCAGCTCTTCCCTGTGGCGCTCCACCAACTCTTCCACATCCTTCTTGAATTTGATTGTGTTCCTCGCTTTCTTTACCAAAGGGCTTGCACTAGCTTTCCTTGGGCCCATAGTGACTTATTTAGCAGTTGCAAGCACAAAAAACAATGGATTATTATGAAATGTATTGTATGAACCCGCAGGGTGATGGTCACGTGCTGGTAAACAATGGCACACTGAGTGTGAATGGTGCGGGAGATTGGCTTTGTGTGCGCGGTGACGGGCGGATGGGTACCGGATGGTCGCTGAATCACGAGTCCAATCACGAACCGCGAGGCTAAATTTTGCCGAAAAAAACTTGCCGAAAGTCGGATTTCACAAAAGTCGATGCCGACGAAACTCGGGGGTCCACTGTACTAGCACGGCTTACACACCAGGGTTATTGACGTACTTGAACGCCTTATTTCTAGCGCCTTCAAATCTAGTGAGAGAAAGCTGGTAGGCCTACATATGAAAGAATGGGTCTATGTGGTCAGTGTGCACAGTATAAAAAGAAATCCTGCAGCACACAGTGCATAATGAGAAAAAAAACTGACCATGTTTTTGGTTTAAAACAGCGACTTTGCAGTGTATTTTCGTATGGTATTTATGGTTGTATTCTAGTTGTTCTGGTTTCATTTTATAGAATGGAAGACATATTACAGAAATTGAGATGACTTTGATTGGTTTTATTATGAAAAGTACCTTGAAATTGAGATCAAAGTAGTAGAAATGTTCGATTTTTACAAAATTCCAAAAGTAAACAAATCATGCCAAGCGTAAAATACACATCAACTGGCGAGTCTAATATTCTTTCACAAGTGCACTGATATTATTTATACCATTTCTACACCATTTCTATACTAATGCAGTAGTCTGCATAACAGTAAATCTTCTATTTTTTGTGAGAATAAAAATTCAAAGTGGAAAGCAAAAGAGATGTAAGATGGGCCTGGGGATGTGACTAATGAACAGAGAAAATGTTATTTTAGTGCCATGAATGTCTGTCTTGCTTATTCTGGACCCTATTTGGAAATTGGTTAATGGTTGGTTTCTTGTACTCATTCGATCAAAAAAATGGAGTTCTGGCAAAATAGATATGATTTTTGTTGACTAGTACACTGAAATTGGCTGAAAATAGGGCTCAAAGTGGGCGAAATCGCCGATGCATAAACATCGTCTAGACTGCTAACTTTGTGAGAGCATAATTCCGTAAGTTTTCCATCAGATTTCATACTTTTGGTGTCATTATGATCAGGAAAAGATTCTCTTATCATTTCATAAGAAAAAATGATTTGTCTTTTTTTCCGAAAATTTTTTGACCCTGAGAATGAGTTTAGGAGAGGGCCTCTCGACCCTGAAAGGGTTAAAAGGCATGCAAAGTCTGAGGTTTGATTTAAATGACTAATAGGGGGCAGTGGGTGACTGTTAATGGCTATTGTAGTAGAGATTATTTTTCCATGTTCATTTCTGTAACAAACATTTCGTTGATTCTAAATCAGTTAACCAAGCAGGTTTTGTTCCATATTTTCAAAGTCCGTTAAATCAAGGTTCATTAATTGAGTTTATTTAGAGAAGGAACACAACTGGCTCTTAGTAAAACTTACCTGTTTTTTAATATCTATTTTCAGAAGCAAAAAGGCAGTAACTACAAGAACTCTGGAGAGGTGAAGGTCAGTAAGGCTCACATTCGTCAGGTGTTCTCCTTCATCGACTACATAAAGGGAGGCATGGATGTTAATGCTTTTATTGCTATTGATTTCACAGGTTAGTTGATAAAGAATTTTGAAGATAAACCTAATTTTATAATGAAGTTTGTTGTCACTACTACTTACTACCTGAGGGAACAGTGCTATGCACATAATCTGTCTCCAGTATTGGAAACTAAAATTTTTAAATGCAGTGGTACCTCAAATTTCATACTTAATCCGTTCCAGGAGCTAGTGTACTAAAGTCAAAACGTACTAAAGTCAAAGCAATATTTCCCATAAGAAATAATGTAAATCCTGCTGTCAGGAGACATGACAAAATTGTACTTCAGTATGACGTTATTATCAGTTGTACAGGTTATTTATCTATCACAATTCATCTAATGTGACATAAACAATATAAATAACATAATCTGATATACAGTCTAGAATGAATAAAATATATATGTCAATACGTGTGTGGTGGTGGGGGAGGACAGCGCTTGCGGGCATTCTTGCTGTAGCTATGAAAACGTCTTCCCATTCTTTCCTCCTTCAGATGTGTTAGTATAAGAGAAAATGGAGTTTGTGAAGCAGACTGCATTAGATCATAAGAAAACCATAATGTACAAATGAATTGGTGTACATACACCATTTACATAACTTGACTTAAGAAATCGTAATGACACGATTGCAAATAAACCATACCCCATTTACATACCTTGCAGAAGATAGGCAGAGCAGCTTATGCTGTCAAGAGTTTATTTCGTTTCGTCCTTTTTCTATCTCTTAATTGCTTAATTGCTACACTCTTAGTGCTTCTCTTAATGCTACTTAACTGCTTTAAACTCCACAACTTGTGGCTTTGCTGGCATGCAGGAACACATTAAAATCACTAAGAGTGTATTATTCTTGAAGATGCCATATTAATAATGTTAATAATAACACAGTAATAACCCAGTCGGCTTGATTGAGTGAACATGAACCATTCGTGTCTGGACTGGTAGCAGCAAGACTTGAGCTAGAGTTCATCACGGCCATGCTAGCAGGAGATTCGTCTGTAAAAACTTTGCTTTTGGGTCACAGTGGTGCCTATGCTAACCTTCCTATTGTGTAGAAATATTCCTAGTTGGATGAATCTTATTGAAGCTAGCTGGCCCAGTGGCTAACGTGACGGTCTGGAGTTTTGAGACTCTTTGATTGCGGGTTCAAACCCCACCCGTGGTATGGTTTGGTAACAACAACAACTGGTTTGTTTACAAAACTCAGCGAACCTTCTACACTCTCATGTATTCTCATCTACTCATCTTGTTTACTCATCTCTCACTACATTAAGACTACAAATATTTTAAGTAATGAGTGTACTGTATGTGCATTTTATTGCTCTAGGGCACTTTAAAAGCCTAGTATATAATGTGTAAGTGGGGTAGCTAGATGGGGGTTACATACCTACCACACTTTCATACATACCTATCTTACTATTCACATTGCACCCTATATTAAGACTACAAATATTTTAAGGTAAGTAATGAGTGTACTGTATATGCATTTTATCGCTCTAGGGCACTTTAAATGCCTAGTATTTAATGTAATGTTCACTTGAGGAGAGACAAAGCCAGACTGACTCATGATGGCTGCGTGGGGAGGCTCGCAGGCGCAGGCAGATAGGTCTTGTACACGAGACAAAACATGGGGCACATTGCAAAACTCGGGACAAAATTTAGCCGAAAAACGGTTCTAAACTCGAAGCGTACAATACTCAGGGCGTACAAAACTCGGGGTTCCACTGTATACAAGTGCTTCTCGGCTCTCAATGGGGTTACATTCCAACAAAACCATCGTAAGTCAAAAATATCCTAAGTTGAATATAAATATATGCTCAATATATAAGTAAATATATGACTACTGTAATTAAATAAGTTAATAAATAAATAATTACTGTAACTAGCTAATCCGTTCCTGAGAGTTCATCGTAAGCTGAAATTATCGTTATCCGAATTAATTTTCCCCATAAGAAAATATGGAAATCAAATTAATCCGTTCCTAACACCATAAAGTATCAAAAAAAAAAAATACCACATGAAATATTAATTTTAACCCTTTCAGGGTCCAAGGCCAAAATCTGAAGGGCTGCCCCAGTGTCCAAGAAATTTTGAACAAAAAAAAAAAATTATTTTTTTCTTACAAAATTAAAGATAATATTTTTGTGAAGGTAATAAAACAAAACAAAAAAAAATTTTCTGATCAATACTTACCAAGATACAGTGGGGGAAGTTGACCCAAAATGACCGGGTGGCGGCAACATAAGCGACTTCCGCAAAATCACATTTTTTTATTTACGTTTTTTATACTTTTTTCTTTTCTTTTCTAATTTTTTTTCTAGTAACATTTGTGGTCTGTGAGACCAATATAATGTATATTGTATAAGTGTACACTCATTGTATTCAACACAACAACTGCACTAATTTATCATTATATTGCTTACAAAACTAGTTTACAAGTTTATTGTAAACAAAATGATGAAAATATTAGTGTGGTTATTGTGTTGAATACAACGGTACCATATAGTACTATATGGTACAATGGTACCATATGATACAATGGTACCATATGGTGCAATGGTACCTTATGGTGCAATGGTACCATATGGTACAATGGTACCATATGGTACATTGTACCATATGGTACTATATGGTACTGTTGTATTCAACACAATAACCACACTAATATTTTCATCATTATTTCATTTACTTTAATTGTTTACAACAAAAATATGCAAATGTTGTATATTAGTAATGTTCTATTATATATTTACAAATGTACAGGAACTTGACATGTTCCTTGAGGTGAACGACAAAGCACTTTGTCTTGGAAACTGCCGAGTCACTAGCTAGCTTGCGTCGTCACTCACTCAGTCTTGCCTGGTGCCTGGTGGCAGCAACATCTCTGACCATATGGTACATGGTATCATATGTTACAGGACACCATATGGTACATCGTACTATATGGTATAGGGTACCCTACAGTACAGGGTACCATATGGTGCAGGGTACCATATGGTGTAGGGTACCATATGGTGCAGGGTACCATATGGTACAGGACACCATATGGTACAGATACAGGGATCCCTATGGAAATAAGTCACCCTGACTTTTTTTGGGTTATCCTAGGATTTTATACATATGCTGCTATGTATGATAATCTATGTAACTTTATTTGTGTACACCTGAATAAACTTACTCAAGCACATGCGGCATCGTAAGTTTATTTAGGTATACACAAATAAAGTTACATAGATTATCATACATAGCAGCATATGTTTGGAGAACCTAGGATAACCAAAAAATGTCAGACTTATTTCCATTAGGGTCCCTGTACCCTGTACCATATGGTACAATGTACCATGTGGTATAATGTACTATGTGGTACATTGTACCATATGGTACCATTGTACTATATGATACCATTGTATGACATGGCACCATTGTACCATATGGTTCAAAACTATAGAATTCCTCTTCAGATCCATTTCCATCAGTCTTAGAACTAAGTTGTGAAGAGGAGAGTCAGAATTCACCAGGAGAGTGAGTGGGGAGTGAGAGCTTCATTGCTGCCAGGCATGATGAACAAAGCACTTTGACGGCGTTCCCACAGTGCCATGCAGGTGTCCAGATTTTTTCTATAGTGCACACACTGACCACCCAGACCCATTCTCTCAGATGTAGGCCTACCAGCCTTCTTGCACTAAATTTGACACCGCTAGAATTTTGGCGTAGATCTACGGTTTGGACCCTCAACATAAAGCCGTAGATCTACGGGACGGACCCTGAAAGGGTTAATACACACAAACTGAAGAAGACATGCACAATTACTACTCTACTAAGAATAGAATACATGACACTTACCTTTATTGAAGATCTTGTGATAATTGATGGAATGGGAGGAGGGGAGAGTGTGGAAGTTATTGTTTAGAAGGGGAACCCCCTTCCATTAGGACTTGAGGTAGCGAGTCCTTTTCCGGGGTTACTTCCCTTCTTCTTTTAATGCCACTAGGACCAGCTTGAGAGTCACTGGACCTCTGTCGCACAACAAATCTGTCCATAGAGCTCTGTACCTCCCGTTCCTTTAAGACTTTCCTAAAATGGGCCATAACATTGTCATTGTACAGATTGCCAACACGGCTTGCAGTAGCTGTGTCAGGGTGATTTTCATCCGTAAAGGTTTGCAGTTCAACCCACTTTGCACACACTTCCTTAATCTCTTTTTTCAATTCCATAATAATTCTTGCCCATTTTACCACAGGGATGGCACTAGAAGCTTTCTTGGGGTTCATGGTGACTTATTTTGCAGTTACAAGCACTAAAAAAACTGGGATAATATGAAATGTACCGAATGTATGCGTAGATGCGACCGCACTGGCTGGTTTGTAAACACTGGCGCTGAGGCCACACGTGGGACACATCCCGGATGAGTCACGTAAGGCGAGTTTTTTTTATCCTGAGGCGAGGCGAAGTTTTTGCGTTCAAATGCTTCCTATGGTGGATTTAACGTAACGCAATGCGCTTGTAAGGCAGGGGTCCACTGTACACTTACCATCTGACTTACGACTGAGTTTGGTTCCGACCAACCAGTCGTAAGTCAAAATTGACGCAAGTCGAGCCTTAGAAAATTGCCTACGCAGTGGGTAATAGTATGGGTTTTCGTGGAAATAGTATGGGTTTTCATGGAAAATCAATGTATCCTGAGTATAGCGATAGTGTGAGTTTTAAGGAAACCAGTTATAGGCAGAGTGAGGTAGAGTTATTGGTGAGCATAGGAAAGCCATTAGCATTAGGTGATAAGGAGTGTAACAGGCTTAGTGGAGGAACAGAAATCAGCAGGAAGAAAGAAGAGAAGGGAGGGGTTCTAAAAGTATATTATACTAATAGTCGTAGTGCGAGAAATAAGATGAACGAATTGATATTAGTTGCAAGTGCGGATAACATTGATGTTTTTGCCATAACTGAGACGTGGTTTAATATGAAAAATAGGGACAAGCCTGCTGAATGTCACATTCAGGATTTTAAATTGTTCCAAGTAGACAGAAGTATTGGGAAGGGGGGTGGGGTGGCACTATGTTCGTGATCGTTTAAATTGTTGCATAAAAACGGGTATAAAGTCTGAAGCACATACTGAGTCTGTTTGAGTAGAATTTTCAGGGGGCATGAAAAATTGATTTTAGGCATGATATACCATCCCCCAAACTTGGATAGAGACCGAGGAAGACTACATTGGGAGGAAATTGTTAAGGCCACAAGGCACGATAACATTGTAATTCTAGGGGACTT